GATGGGGATTCCTCGTCCCCCGCCAAATTCCCCGCGGGGAGTATACTCCCCGCCCCCGCCCCCGCCCCGTTGCCATCCCTACTTAGGAAAGTTCGGGTCAATGAGAATCTAATTCTATAGTATCAAAGAAATTAAATCCCGCATATGGGAGGTCGAATTTTTTTTCCTAAGTACCAAATTTATCCAATTACGTATTTATTCCTCTGGTGCCAGGTAATGAGTCTTTTGTAAATATAAGAAATTTGTCTCTTCAACCATTAAAGAAATATTGATTTTTTTTTTTGAACACAACACCATTAAGAAAGATTAAAACACTGTTTATTAAAAAAAAAAAAAAAAGTTATCCTTCTCAACACTTTTTCACATACATATTATTTTTTATTTTGAATATTCTTAGCTTGTTGCAAATTGTAATTTTTTATGTATTTTTTTATTAATTTACAAGTGATTTATTAAACTATCAATTATTTGATATGTTTTATTAAATATTTGTACATAGTGAGGATATATTAGGGATATAAAAAGTTTTCCTAGGAAAGATAATTAAGCGAACTAAACATCTTAATTAATTTTCTATTTAACTTAATTCTTATGTTTCTAGTGTAACATCAAATGTGTTAATTAATTTTCCTTGCAAAGTTATTTCTATCAAATACACTCCTTGAAAATATTTTTTCTGAAGTTTAATTGATGGGAAAATACCAAACATCTTCTAAATGTATTGTAATTTTTTTCACTTTATTACTACTCTTCTCTAAACTTCCCTTAATCATTTTAAAAATATTTAGTTATAGACTTATAGGACTATTTTTGTTTGTTAAAAAGTATTTAAATAAATTTACAAAAAAAACAAAAACAAAAACAAAAACAAAACAAAATTACTTCTTGATGTTTTGGACTTAGGGTGAAATCATTTTTCAGGTTGTTAGTGTTTTATTTTTTAAAGAAAACCCCAACATATAATTGGCAATATTATTGTGGAAAATTAAGATAGGGTTTAGCTTGGTGTCTGACCGTCCTTGAAGAATACTGATTGATCAGTGGTGTCAACAAACGCATCTCTGGATCAAGTTACCGAAGGTCTAATAAAGGAAAGTTTCTAAAAGCTGGCAGAGCGGTAATCAGATGATTATTTTGGAAAGAATATCAGTGAATCATCTCTTGAGGTATGGACCAAATCTCCTTGAAGATTCAAGATCTTTTCATTCACAAAGTCCTACCTTTTACAACTAGAATCATATTTGGAGAGTGTCCAAATTAAGAAGTATATATACACATATACTTTCAAAAGTTAGGGTTGCATTGATTGAAGCCGCAACACTCCATACTAAAAGATACACATCTCTGGTTTTATGCCTCTTCTCAAGACAATGAGTTCATGGTGATTACAAAGATGAAATTGAGAAGAATCAACACTGCTTAAACAATTGGACGCGAAGGTCACTCAGTTGTGGGAACAACGTGGGACTGCGTCATTGAAGCGGACTGCATCAGAGTTAGCTCTCCATTGAAGGGATTGCATTGGACTTCTGAATGCATGCTTCTCCAACTTCAACAATCCACTAAACCTTTGTAGACTGGGTACTGGCCTTGTGTGGAGCACTTGGGTGAGATTGTTCTTCTCTACCTTTGTACATTGGATTCCGAGTTAGTGGATTGGACGCATCGGTGATCGTCCCCCAGATGTAGATACACACTGTATCGAACTGGGTAAACAAACATATGTGTTGATTTACTTTCTGTCTTAGTCTTCCGCGTTATGCTATATCTGTTTATCTATTTGAATGATTGTCTGATCGAGGATCCGTGTTAGTCAGTCCACTATTCTGTTTGCAAGAAAGTAAATCAATAATCCTAGATTAAGAGAATATGCAAAATTACACAGGTTTCCAGTGTTTGGCAAAAGGGAAAAAAATAAAAATCAATGGAAAATGAGTGCTTGGCCAATGAAAAATTGGGGTGTTTTTCCGGAACGCCATGCCCAGTGCCACCATCGATCGCAACACCGAGATCTCACCGTCGCCGCCCCAGCCAGCCGTTGATATCCACGTTGAGCTTCCACCGTCGCCGCCCAACCATCCATTTTCTTCACCAATTGCCATTGCTGAGGGGATGGATTTGGACTTTTGGTTGTGGACGATTGTGGGGTTTTAATAATAATAATAATAATAATAATAATAATAATAATAATAATAATAATAATAATAATAATAATAATAATAATAAAAATAATAATAATAATAATAATAATAATAATTATTATTATTATTATTATTATTATTATTATTATTATTATTAATTTTTTTGGAAAATGAATCGAACACATCAAGACAGTTTTGTGGAATGCAACCAAGACAGTTTTCTTGAAAGAAAAATGTTTTCGAAAACATTTTTTAGAAGCCATTTTCTTCTTTTCCAAACATACCCTTAAGATTTTTATTTTATTTATTTATTTATTTTTATTTTTATTTTTTTTACATATTTGATGTGTGTTTTGGAAGGAAATTGATGAGTTTACATATTTACCATTCCATCACCGTTAATTTGTATAGCTATTTGAGGTGAGGGACTAAAATATGCACCAAACAAACAATTTAGGGACTAAATGAGGTCAAATGGCACTAAGTTGGTTATTCTAGTATAATTGAGGGATTAAAATGGTCAATCTCATTATTATTATTATTATTATTATTATTATTATTATTATTATTATTATTATTATTATTATTATTATTATTATTATTATTATTATGCTTATTTTTTTTGGAAAATGAATCGAACACATCAAGACAGTTTTGTGGAATGCAACCAAGACAGTTTTCTTGAAAGGAAAATGTTTTCGAAAACATTTTTTAGAAGCCATTTTCTTCTTTTCCAAACATACCCTTAAGATTTTTATTTTATTTTATTTTTTTTTAACATATTTGATGTGTGTTTTGGAAGGAAATTGATGAGTTTACATATTTACCATTCCATCACCGTTAATTTGTATAGCTATTTGAGGTGAGGGACTAAAATATGCACCAAATTAACAATTTAGGGACTAAATGAGGTCAAATGGCACTTAGTTGGTTATTCTAATATAATTGAGGGATTAAAATGGTCAATCTCATCATTATTATTATTATTATTATTATTATTATTATTATTATTATTATTATTATTATTATTATTTTGAAGAAATTATTATTATTATTATTATTATTTCGCTATATCAATTCTAAAAATACACAATCAACACCAAATTATTTTAAAATGTTATATAACTTGTCTAATAAACAGATTACTTAACGATAACGTGCTAAATGTGCTAACTGTATTTTTTTACCAGTTAAATAATCTAATTGAAAATTTATATAATTCAAAGACCATATTACAATATATTACTATTATTTTAAGGATTTTTTTTCTCTAAAAAATGACCGAACAGGTGGAAAAATATGACATTTACAGATATACTCGTATGAGATAGAGAGAAGAAAATCTAAAATTATAAGCTGAGACATAGAGAGAGAGAGTGAAAGAAACCCAAGAATAGAGGGTGGGTCGGAGCCTGACTGTCAAATCTACTTATTCTCTCTCTCTCTCTCTCTCTCTCTCTCTTTCCGGAGATTCGATTCAATCGCCGATCATTTCTTCTCCTTCAATCTCTGTCTCCCTCACGCTCACAATAATGCTCCCAGATTTTCAAGGTATGTATATAAAATCAATAATTATATACATTTATTTATGTGTGTTCATACACTGCATACACACACACATATATGCATGTAAATATATTGAATTGTGTGAAGTGGGACTGTAAAGACTTTATATCTGACAAAATATATAATTTCTGGGTTTACTTTTTGGGAGTGGGTTTGTATTTATACCTCTCAGAAAACTTTTTAAAAATTAAAAAAAAAAAGTCTATTTTTTTAACCTTTCAAAATTTCCTTTTACCTGTTGAGTCTTCGTATGTTGTGTTTTTTCCAGTACTATAATTCTTCTCCTGCTTCTCAATTTTGGTTCATTTGAGGTATAAAGTTTCCCCCCCTTCTTTTTGTCAGTTTCAAGAATCTATGCTTCAACAAGAATTATAATTTATAATTTTCTTTGCTTTTTTCAGTTGAATTTTCCAGTTTGATTTTCTTTTTCCCATTATGCAAATATCCTCCTTAAGGCTTTTTATCCTAAATTAATTATTATGATTATTTTTGTATCTGTGATAGTTATGGCTTAATCTGAGTGGGGGTGGGGAGATTCTTCTTTTGAAACTCTGAGCTTATGAGTATGGAGGGGTATATCAGAGTACAGATTGAAAAGGTTCCCTTTTATGGAAAATGGGATCTGCTTTTAACATCTCATCATACCTTAAAAAAATAGTAATTATGCCCATAATAATAATACAAAAAAATAATAATGATGGGATTAATAATTATTACATTATTCTCCATGTTTGTTCCATGATCTTGAAAAGGAGCAACCATTCTGTATCTTAGGTGTACTGGGAAGTGGGATGCTTGGGGGTGTGGGGGAAGGGAGAAGATGTTGTCTCTTGTGTAATTATATTATGTTCTACAAATTGTCCTTAAACAATTCAAAAACCTTATCATGTGTTGTCTGTGCCTTTTGTTTATTCCATATAAATAAACAAGTACAGATGAGTAGATGATAACATATAATTTTCCTGTCTAGATTAGATGATATGATGATGGGGTTTCTCTTAAACTAATACTATACTCCCTCTCTCCCAGCTTAAGTGCTCTCAAACAATCTTTTTAATATATATTTGTTCTTAACAGTCCTGTTTTACCTGCTCTTCTTTTGCAGACTGGGTTTAGCTTGATCATATCGGGGTGTTTGGCAAACAGCTGTTATCTGATAGCTGATAGCTGATAGCGAATTGACTTAGTTGATAGCTGTTAGCGGATTGAGTTAGCGGTAGCGAATTGACTTAGTTGATAGCTGTTAGTGGATTCTGAAATTGATTTGGTTTAGTTAATTCGAGCAATTTGGGAATGGAGGGGCCTGGGGATACATTTTCCGGGCTGGGAAGTGGGGTTGTTGCCGGGGGGGTGGCGATAGATGGGAAGGTGTTGCAGACATTTCAGAAGAGTTTTGTGCAGGTTCAGAACATATTGGATCAGAACAGATTGTTGATCAACGAGATTAACCAGAACCACGAGTCTAAAATACCGGATAACTTGAGCAGGAATGTGGGATTGATCAGAGAGCTAAACAACAACATCAAGAGGGTAGTCGATCTCTACGCTCATCTCTCCACCTCCTTTGGCAAATCCATGGATGCTTCCTCTGAAGGCGAATCCAGTGGGGCCCTCAAGTCGTCCGATGGGAAACCCGCCACCCACAAGAGAACTCGCCCTGCAGCCTAGCTAGGAGATCGATCAGATAAACAACCCCAAGCTCATTCTTTTTTTCGTGGCGAAAAAACAAGAATTCAGGTAGTACAAAAACCCTTAGATTGTGTAGCATAACTCTTTTTCTTTGCTAGTGCTCCTTCTATCATTGCCTCAAATTCCAAATCCCCTTAGAAAATATTAATAATAATATTAATAACAATAATGCTTCATCAGGAAAATCCAATCAGTCTTTTGTTGAGGCAAAAGCACAATTCTTACTATGTATCTACAGATCTAATTGAAACTTAAGACTGTTCCTTTTATCTTTGGTTAGTTCTTCTGCTCTTTTTTATAATTTTTTTTTTTTTTTTTCTCTTGACAGTTCAGTGTAGAAATAAAAGAAAAATTGATTAATTTGTTGATATATTAGAAATGGGATTTGCCCTTTTTTCTGTGTTGATGGGGATGATCTTTGATTTGGTGTTGAAACCACTCAAATGTATTGATTCTTCTGAAAAGGTGATGCAGTAAACTTTTCATTCTCAATTTGTCAAAAAGCCTAATCTATATGAAAATAGTCAAAATACAAGTAAAAATGGAAATCTCTTATTAGTACAAATGTATTCAAATATAATTATTTTTTAAATGATGTTGTTCAGTACCATAATTTTTTTTTGAGAGTTATATTCTTGTAGTGGAGGTAAAAGAGATGGTCAATAAATAGCATATAATTAGTGGTCTTCTTTTGTGCATATGAGAGAATATGATTTGAACTTCATGCCATAAAGTCATAGAAGCTAATGTCAATTTTGAAGTCATATATTGGTCGGTTTTTGTTATGTTTTTCCAAACATTACTCATACCCTCATCATTTTCCGGATTTTTTGTGTTTGAATGTGTCTGAAAAATTATCGTTGACTTGAAAAAATAAGACTATTTTAGAGGAAAATGACTTATGCCAAAATTTGACAAAAGCCATTTTGCACAGGTTGACAACAATCGTTTCTGGCGGAAACCATAGGCCTTGTTTCCGCCGGAAACTAGAGAGTTTTTTTTTTCTTCAATTTTTAATAAATAATATTATTTTTAATATTATTATAAATATTTTTATATTGCAAATAAAACAATTAAAATGTTAATTATATAATTCTACTCATTTTCCATAAAATAAATCAAACACCCAAAATAGTTTTCCATAATGTAATCAAACACGGTAAATGAAACTATTTTTTTTTAAAATAATTCATTTTTCAGAAGTTATTTTTCTTGTTTTCAAACGCACTATTAATTTCAATCGGGTCTTCTTCTTCTTTTATTTTTAATGGAAAATTCTCCAAATATTAAAAAAATGGAAATAATAAAGGGGTGGCAGATATTGTTTGAATTCTTTTTTCCAAGAAAGCAAGAATCTCTCTTTCTTGTTTCCATTGTTGCAAAATTGAGTTTTACACTTCAAGATTGATACTATGTAAGATATTTTCACCATTATAGAAAACTAGATTACAAGAATGAATATATCTAAATAAAATTATTATTCCATATATAAACACACATAATGTCTCGTGTCACTATATATGCCTTGTACTCCGTACTATTCAGAGTTGAATTTCTCTTATTATTTATTTATTTGTATTCTTTCTATAATATTTTAAAAGAAAAATTATAATTTATGTCCATCACAAATATATCAATTATCAATGCCACCCTTGAATTATTAATGGTGTAAATATTGCCCTCAATTTTCAAAACGTGACATATATTGCCCATCCTCTGAATTATTAATGGTGTAAATGTAAAATGTGGTTACCCATCATTTTTCCTATTCGAAGACCATGTCTTTGTTAAGAAATATTTTTTGGTTGAGTTAATTACCGAAATGGTCCGCTCTCTTAACTATAGCGAAATTATTAATTTGGTCCTTGACTATTTTTTTGACCAATTAAATCCCTCAATTTTAAAAATTTTAACCAATTTAGTCATCCGTTTGTTTTACCGTTAGATATCCGTTAACTCGGGACCAAATTGGTAATTTTTCTATAGTCAAGGGACCATTTCAGTAAATAACTTTTCGGGGGAAATGGTGCATGTGATGACCGAAATGGTCCCTTAACTATAGTAAAATTACCAATTTGGTACCGATCTAACGGATGTCTAACGGCAAAACAAACGGATGACCAAATTGGTTAAGATTTTTAAAGTTGATGGACTTAATTGGTCAAAAAAATAGTCGAGGACCAAATCAATAATTTTTACTATAGTTAAGAGACCATTTCAGTAATTAACTCTTTCAAGTTTTTATCATCGACTATTGTGGCATGGTCACACTTAATCATATTCTTTTAAGAAGAAATCAACATTTTGGTCTCTCAATTGTTTCCCAACTATCAATGTAGGTCATAGTTCTAAATTTCAACAAATTTGATCATCAAATTGTATAAAATTTCGTCAATTAAACCCTTTTAGGGACCACAATGGTGATTTCACATTTTTAATATTTTGTCAATTTGATCCCGAAAAGGTTTAATTGATAAAATTTTAAATAATTCAAGGGTCAAATTGGTCGAAATTGAAAACTAGACACTGCATTAACAGTTGGGATTTGAGAGACCAAAATATTGATTAAATCTTCTTTTAATTTTGCATCATTACATCATTGACTTTCATTTATTTGTCATAATTTGTTCACCATTTAAATTTTTCGTCATTCTCGTTAAAGATGGTTAACATTTAATTTTTTTATTGAAGCCTTTTGTTTTAATATATAATTTAAAACACTCTCCCATAAACCCTTTTAATTGAATGATCAAATTATATGTTATTATTTTTTTATTAAATGGTAGAATGACTGAAATTTAATCATATAACTATTTGTGATAAGTAAATAAAAATCAATTATGTAATAAATAAATTAAAATATAAAATTAAATTTAATAATGCCACTATATTGGATATTTAAAGTGAAATTTACTGAATTGGTTAATGTTATACATATGGTTGTCCCGGAGAGATGATTTTTTTTGTGGGGGGAAATTATAATACTGTTGGTGATTTGGATGTGGAGAATTGGGAGGACGTGAATATATAGATTTCTGCAAAGATGCTCTGAAACATTTGGGGAGAAAAAAAGCAGCTTTTTCCTACATAATCTTTCTAGTTCCCAATCACACAGCACCACAGGATCAGAATCTCAGATAAGAAATGATGGCTCTTTTGACCCTAACTTTTACTTGTATAATATTGGATGTGTTTGGTTACTACATGGGATTCAGAATCAGAATGGAAATTAAATACTTTGTAATGATATTAGATTTTGGTAAAAGTATTTGAAAAAGTCTGTGTATCTTGAAATCAATTTAACACTAAGGATTCTACTTGATTTTATATTACGAGACAATTTCGTTGTTTAATTAAATCAATTTAATCAACGTATAAATAACGAAATTGAAAGCATAAATAAAATAAAGACACAGTAGAATTGTTACGCAGTTCGGAGCTCTTTCTCCTACGTCTGCGGGGCAACCCACGTCTGCCCAATCCACTAGATGTTCACCACAGAGTATTACAAGAGGTAACTACAAATGGCTCACAGCCTTTACCGCTACAACTCTTCTAAAACACCTATTCAGGACTAAACCGTGCATGCTATAACCATCTTTGGTGTAGCGCTTCAGCTGTCACAGGTACTGACTTGTAATACAGAATTAAATCACAAATATAACATAATCAATATTAAAGCAGTAATATAGGAAGCTTGCGTATGTGTTCAGAATTTCAGAATTGACAACTTCCTCTTTCGTTTTCCCTTCCTTATATACTGTACATAATTTCCATTTCACCAAGTCTTGATTGTAGCTTTCATATGTGGCTTGAATTCTTCTCAACCACATCTTCTTTAACTTGAGATCTTCAGACTTGCTCTTTGTCCAACTTATTAACAATAAATCTCCACCACACATTTTAGCTTGGTCCAAAATTGTACACTTACAATCTCCCCCTTTGACAATTTATTTGGTAAAACAATAGTATCATTATACTTTGGGAAAAAGAACAAATATTTTATTAATATCCCATAGCTTACGTACTGAACATATAGAGAAAAATAAATATGCAATTTTAATTCTTTGAGGACCAGACCAAAGCTTAATTGTGTGGGATTTTATTTTGAACCTTGGTTGATGTTGATTCACATACTTCATCCAATTAATAAATAGTGAATCATGCACGAAATAGTGTTGTATCAAACATACCATATATGTCACGCTTTCCATACTGTAATTTGAATTACTCCCCTAACTTGGAGCTTTCCTTTCTTCATATGCATTCCAATTAAAACCAATTCATACCATGCAGTCAACATACCAAATATATACCAATACATTCATACTTAAGTCATTCATAGTCATACCAAAAATATTTAGAGTCATACCAAATTATTAATAGCATCCGAACCTAGGATTAACATCCATACCAAAGTATGCCAAAAACCAAAAACTTACCAAACATCCAAACATTTCCATACTCCCCCTTTCTCCAATACTCCCCCTTTGTTTATGCCAAATAAATGACAAACAAACCGGTGAACATCATACTAGTGGATTGGATTAACTTGCAGACCGGGTGCCCGACTCAGATTCATCGCTCTTAGATATAGAACCAGTGCCAGCGCCAGTATTAGTTCGGATCCGAGCATAGATGGCCTCCATTCTGGCTATTTCTTCCAACTGAGCACCCAACAATGGTTATTTGTTGAGAAGCAACCGATGTGCGAATTTGAGCAATTGACGCTTGAAGAGTGAGAACAATTTGACGGCGATCCATGAGCGTCTGAGGTTCCTTGAACACTGCTGTAGGACGAGGATTCGGGGTTGAAGCAGTGTCAGCAGATGATGCAGGGGCAGACACAGAGGGCGTGACAGTTGGTGCGTCGGGAGTGATCATGAGCGTAGCTCTATCATCATAGTGATCCTTATGGGTTAAACGATCATCGTATTTATAGACTGAGTCATTAGCAATCACCACCTCATCTTTGTAGG